ATATTTTTGTACAGTGCTCAATCTGCTCATGTTACGGAAGCCCTGTGTGGTAGTAGTCATACGAGAGAACTGTATTATCACCTGCCACCGGATGGACTAGACAACCTTTGCAGCTTATTCTTTTTTAATAAGATACTCGCTGCTCCGTGTGTTTGTGTTGAATGGAAAGAACATAATACCGTACTTGCGTTGTTGAACATAGATCAGGAAACACTCGTAAATAATTTTAGTTGTCGACTCTACGGAAAGTTTATAACCTTTGTATTGGACACACAAAAGGACCAATGTTATCTTTGGCTACGGTAGAACTTGCTCAAGATAAGATTGCCAAATTTGATGAGTTTCATCCTTTGGGGTGTATAATACGATTGTTAACTTGTGGCAAAAACTAGATGGTAAGGTAGTTAATAATCAGCGGTGAAGGTGAATTACAATGTAACAAAATACTAGTAAAGGTCTCCTGTGTGGGACGGTCGCTGGCTAGCTATTGCTTTATCTCAGGAGTGGAGCATTGTGTTGGTTCAGGCCTTATCGCAGCGGTGTTCCTGTCAAGGGCGATATGGTGTGCACTTTGAGTCAAACGTGTCTCCTCCAGGCTGTGGGGTGCTCCAGGCTGTGGGTTGCTATGGGGTGCTCCAGGCTGTGGGTTGCTATGGGGTGCTCCAGGCTGTGGGTTGCTATGGGGTGCTCCAGGCTGTGGGTTGCTATGGGGTGCTCCAGGCTGTGGGTTGCTATGGGGTGCTCCAGGCTGTGCTATGGGTACTCCAGGCTGTGGGTGCTATGGGTACTCCAGGCTGTGGAGTGCTGGCACTCCAGGCTGGGGTGCTATGGGTACTCCAGGCTGTGGGGTGCTATGGGTACTCCAGGCTGTGGAGTGCTATGGGTACTCCAGGCTGTGGGGTGCTATGGGTACTCCAGGCTGTGGGGTGCTCCAGGCTCAGACTATTGGACTCCAAACTTACTTTACCTGTAAGTCGAGACCTTCACATTTGACTCCTCCAATACAGTACAGTATTGACTCGACCTTTGTGGGTGCCGTTGTTTGTGATTTAGTAGCGTAAGATACGACAGGAGATAAGCTGTTACTTGTTCCCTTGTTGATTTTCTCGTGGTGCTCACATTTCTCCCGGGAATTTTTGTGTTATTCGTAACGTATTCGGCAATCTTAATTACATTATCAAATAGATCGACTTTCCAAAACACTGTAAACATTCGGAGAGTCTGATACGGTACATTAAATTATTTCAGTTGTACAAAAAAACTGAAGATAATGCAGTAGATAAATTAGTTGCCACCATCTTCAGTGTTTGTGTCTACCGTACAGCAGTAGATGGATCGTTGGCACTGAGACTGTAGCTATCTCTTGCCTTGGCTGATATTGTGTGTTACAAGTAGAGATTGACCAGAGCTTTAGTGTCGTCAGTGAACACGTTACATGATAATTTCGGTGTGTGTATTACGTAGAGGAGGGATGGTGGGTTGTAGAGGAGGGATGGTGGGTTGTAGAGGGGGGGGTTTGTAGAGGGGGGTGGTGGGTTGTAGGGGTGGTGGGTTGTAGAGGGGGGGTGGTGGGTTGTAGAGGGTGGGGGTTGTAGAGGAGGGTGGTGGTTGTAGAGGAGTAGAGGGGTGGTGGGTTGTAGAAGTGAGAAGGGTGGTGGGTTGTAGAGGGTGGTGGGTTGTAGAGGGGTGTAAAAAAAGTAGGTCTGTTTTATATGAGGAGGGGCTGTTGTAAAAAGGTTACGTTATAAATTTTGTCGGGCTGGTACTTATACCCTCTCCTGGACCACCACCTTTCACCACCACCATACTACCACCACCTCCCCCATATACTCCACACTACTCCACCACCTCCCCACACTACATATACCCACACTACCACCACCCCATATATACCCACACTACCACCACCTTCCCCATATACACTACCACCACCTTCCCCCCATATACTCCACACTACCACCCTCTCCCCATATACCCACACTACCACCACCTTCCCCCATATACTCAACACTACCACCACCTCTCCCATATACTCACTTACACACCACCTTCCCCCATATACTCCACACTACCACCACCCCACACTACCACCATATACTCCACACTACCACCACCCTCCCATATACTCCACACTACCTTCCCCATATACTCCACATATACCACCACCTTCCCCCATACCCACACCACCACCACCCCCCATACCCACACCACCACCATCCCCCACACACTACCACCACCCTCTCCCCATATACTCCACACTACCACCACCCTCCTCCCATATACTCCACACCACCACCACCCTCCTCTCATATACAGTACTCCACACCACCACCACCCTCCTCCCATATACTCCACACTACCACCACCTCCCTCCCCCACATCCTCCTCCAATCAGTCACAATTGATCCACCTTCCTCCTCCAATACAGTAGATAGAAAATTCGTATCGCCTTCCCTGAATCACGCCACACCTTATACTGTACATACCCGCCAGGTGCACCCATCTCCCACCCTACCCGAGTCTATTCTTATCCTGTTTAAATCCCTGCCACTGTCCTGAGTTGGTCTAGTATTTAAAGTTTTCTTCTCAGAGTTCCTTCTTATCTGAGGGTTGGCGACTACAGTCCTCCACTCTAAATGTTGTCGGGCTGTTTTTACCAATCCTCTAAGGTGTTGGTGCTCCAGGCTGTGGGGTGCTCCAGGCTGTGGGGTGCTCCAGGCTGTGGGGTGCTCCAGACTGTGAGGTGCTCCAGGCTGTAGGGTGTTCCAGACTGTGGGTGTTCTTCTGAATTGCATCATTTTATAGCGTTTAATATCTGGTTGTGACGCAATTTTTGTAAGTCAGTGCTGAGTGTTATGTTAAGCCATCGAGCCTTGAATGGATGCCAGACTTTGAAGGTGAAGACATGAAGACGGTAGAGTGCAGTGCCAGCCTACCTCCTCCTCACAAACTGTACACCTCATTAATAGTCAGTGTTCTGTGCTCGCTGTGCCTCCAATGGGCCGTGCCGTCACGTTCACCCGTTAGACAAAGTGAGAAATCTTCATTAATAGGACACCATTTTTTTTACACAGTGGTGGCAGTTTTGAATTTTTTATGGTGTACTTACGATTTTTTTCATTTTTGCTTCAGACTTTTATTATTATTTTTTCAACTCTTAATTTTCCAAGAAAGTATTCCAAAATCAACGATCTGAGAAACTTGTTTTAGGCCTACAGTACTCACAGGGTTTGGCGGTATGTGCCGGGTCCTCCCTCGCTGAGCAGTGAGAGCTGCTCCGGCAACGTTACTGCCTCTCACTGTTTCTAACATGTTGATTCTTGTCGTAGATATCGCGACTTACCTGCAAAAGTAGCACGAACGAGTTTTATTTCATTATGAAATGAATTGGTCTGTATCGCAATACCTTGTCAGTATGAAATGACACAGAGCAGTCTGGGGTATATGACAACACTGGGTTTTTTACGTCACGTGTACAAGTATGCCTTATGTTCTACCCCAGTTACTCTTAGACACTGTATATTTATGGAGACATGTTAGAGGAAATGGGTTTTGTTTCATCAAGACTGACTTATGATAATTGTGTCAAAGGACGCTTGATGTTTAGTTGTATTGATAGGACTGGATTGTATTTGTCTTAAACTTATTATTGTGAGCTGGCCATACACTTATTGATTTACAGATCACTGGTCAAGTGTTAGGTAAACATAAAGGAGTTTTATAATGCTTTTGCATTATACAGTATTTGTTTTCTTTAAAAAGGGAGGGTTTATTATAATAGATGTTTAATGAATGTGTTGTGTAGGATGAACTGTCCTTATGTGTGATATATGATGTTTCATTGTTCCGCCGGCTTTTCCGTCAACTCTCGACTCTAAACTATTTGAAATGCATTTTAGCATGCCACTCACACTGAGCTGTAAAGCCCTCCTGTTTCAACCTGCTCATACGTTCCCAGGCCACTACAGCACTTAGCCTTGATTATTTATTCATGTTGCCACTTTTGGGTTAATCAGTTTCACTTCCACCCAAACTTTCTGCTATAATATTCTCGTATCATCTTATCCCTGACCTTCAAAGTGTGTGTGATTGTCCGTGTGTTACATCTGGTGGTGTTCTGTCGATTCATCAATTCCTCACTCGCTCTCCCTTGGCAGTGCTGTGACCTGTCGTATGCTCACTGGTAAATTAATACATCATGTTACAGCCTTTGTTCCAGTTGGCTGTGTTGTTGAGGCGTCCAACCGGAAGTGGACAGCACCTCACATGTTTGTTCCCTTTTGTATTTTTTTATTGTTTAGTTTAATCCCGATGTGTCCCTCGTCTCTATGGTTTGTGGTTATATTAAAGACAAGAGAGAACTAACTATCCCTCGAGTCTTTAGTGACGCGCCTCTAGAAGTTTTGTCCCGTCCTAAAGAGCCGCCCACCAACTACTGATTTGGAATAGGAGGCTACAGCTGCTACCCCTGCATGATACAAGATGGACCCAACCCTTTAGGCAACATTGGTTCACCCTCCTCACCAGTATCAGTCCTCGCCCACACTAAAATCCACATTTGACTCCAATATTATACAGTATTCTGCTTCTTTTTTTTCTTTTTTTACAGGACCACTATACTATACAATACTGAACTATGGATTCTTTACTTTTACAACAAACTCCTGTCCATTCTGCCGAAATTATTTAACATTTCACTTATCTTTTTTAAGTATATCTTATTGGTGTTGAACTTGTGTACTCTCCTGTGAAACATAAGATACTAATTTCTTGTGTTTGATACTACTTATTCATTTATTAAATGGTCTTATTATCCTTTATTCTCTTTTAAGTATTCTAAGCGAGATAATGCCTGGTCATTTTGTCATCTTAAATCTTGATAATTTTTTTGAATTTGTTTTTATATCTTCGTGGTGCATCAGGCTGATTCTCGCTCCATATTATTTATAGTCTATTGCCCGTTCCATCTCTGACTTTTCCTTTCTCTTTGTGTTTTTCAGAGGCTACCTGAACCCTGGAACAAAGGTAAACAGTCCACCACTCTCGCTCTCTTGCTGCCTCGCCTCCTGACCACGCGTGTGACTGTCTGGACACTTGTTATTTTCTTACTCTCTTCTTCTCGGTGTACCAATAATGTGTCTAAACTTTTCTTTTATAGTTGATAAATCTCTCTCTTACTTTCACTTACTCTCAATACAAATAAGCCATATTACCTACCTGTACACCAATCAGAGTAACCCAAACAAGTCCAGCTTGTATTATTGTATAGTGTAAGTTTTGATTACCGTAGGTAAGCAGCAGGTCAGACGATTCCCCAAGATTGTGTATGTGCGCGTGTGTGTGTGTGTGTACGTACGTACGTACGTACGTACAGAACTGTAGTCGCTTAAAAAGTATTGGTTTCATCAACTTGTGTTAATTCCATTGAATACTTTTGTGTGTTAATATATTGTCCTCAGGGAGTCTTTTGTCATCTGCTCCTCATTATCTTTCGATGTGTTTTTAAATGTGTTCTACATAATTGTCACCTCTGGGTTTGTTTTACTCACCTCATGTTTTATGAAAATATTTTTATAGATAGTGGCACCACTTACCGTAGGTGAACTTTTAAGAGACCAATGGGAAATTGTTTTCTTCCCTGTACTGTATTGGCCTCTTTATATTAATAGATGCAGAGTCTCGTATTATATTTATCAGTAACACATTTATGTTCCGCTTCACTCCTGGACAGTTCCATATTCATCTTTCTTTTTCCACGTCTACTTTCACCTTTCTCATCCATTACCCTCAAACTTGTGTTTTACCAAATTTAATTCTCACTCTGGTTTAAAGACCTCATCTACTTTAGTAACTCCATTATTCCCTCCCTTGTCACTTCACACAGTGCCATTCACTCACCAAGGCAGGTGTCTTTTGCCATCACCGTTCAATGTTTTTCCCGTCATGTTTCTTCCACGTTTTCGCCTCTTCTGTTTTGACTCTTTGGATTACCCTCCTTCACCACCTGAACTGAACTGTAGGTTTGCTCAGTTTATTCTCTGACATCATGTGTTGTTGCTGGATGATTTTAACCTATCTGAATTTTTTATATGTTTTCAGATCGACTTTTTTTTTGGCCGCCATTAATGTATTTCGTCGTTGCCATTTATTTTCTTGTCTCACTGCTTACCATAGTCCCGCCACTGTCTTGTCTCACTGGTCACTGCTCGTCATTTAAGGGCCCCAGACCCATGCTTTAGCTTTAAGTTGCGTTAATAGTGTGCACCTTGACTGACTGACAGACATCCTGAGTAGCGATTCTGCCAGCCAGTTAAGATTCTTGCCGTGCTTGACCCTGCCTTGATCCTCATTGTATTCCCTCCCTCACCCCCTCTTCTCTCTCCCAGCTCTCCCTTACCCTTGACCTCTTTACACCGACACCTTGTTGTACTACCGACTTGCACACCAGCCAGTGGTCACTAAAGCTGGTGATAGTCGTTCTTGGTCGCCCTTGTTTATTGCTGGTCTGACTATCTTGACTTGTATTTATTGATTTATTGGACACTTTGGGTGCGGCGGTCTAGCCGGATAGAACACACTGTTCCTCATCTGACAGTTGTTGGTTTGAGTTCAATGGTCGGACTTTCCCAGTCTACCCTGCCGCAGAATGGGTTTCTAACATAACAGTTGGGAAAGTGAAAGGCGGTAGAAACCCGTGCCGGGCATGCTGTCACTAGTGTACGTAAGGGTTCAAGGCTTGTGAGACCCACTGACACTCCCGTATTTTTGTTTGTTTGCTAATTTCCTTCATTGTTACACATCAGTTGCCCTAACACACATGTGGCGGTCCATTCCTTAATGTACAATCACTCCAAAAACTATCGATACAATTTTTTTTTTTTTAAATGACACAATGGACGAAGGATTATGACAACGCTACCGAGCCAACAGGAGTCGTAGTGTTCATTCTGAAATTTATCGACGCCCCCCTCCCCCCCACACACAGACACACACAAGTAGAGAGAGTTTTTGAGTGACTGTACACGGTGATATTCTCTCACTTCAATTACTTAATATACAGTACCTCCATTTGCTAATAACTTGTATTCCCCCCTCCGCCCCCCCTCTGTCTAACTTCCTTGCTACCGGAGTCTATAATGTTGGTGTGCCCAGCTTTTCATCTCTTGACTACTTTCTCTGCTGTTGGTATCTCCGGCTATTCTGTACTAAGTCATTGTAATCTTTCTTCACCACATCGGTATTTCCTCTCAGCACACGCACACACCCACACGCACCAACCCAACTTTTCCTGTAAGGGATTTTTCAGCTATCCACCCTAGCTTGTCCAGTCCTCGTACCTAAGAGAGTTCCCATTATTCATATTCTGGCATCTCCATTATTTCCATGTTCTCTTTTCCAATCCTCTTAAGTGGGGGTCGTCGAGAACTCTCCCATAGACTCTTCCAGTAGTCCCACATAGGCTTTCCATGGTTTTCATTATTTTGCAGTTTCAACTCTGCCATATAGGTTTTCCTAACCCAGCCTTATTAGGTTTACTCCCTTCCACGTTGACTTGTCTGCACCATCCATATTGGTTATTCGGACGTGCAAATACCCAGTATTGGCTTCCCCAGCCGTCGCACATTGGTCGTCTTAGCCCAGCCACTTGGTATTTCCAAAGGGGGTTTCTTGGCAATTTTTAGTGGCATTCTGGAGAGCTATATTTTTTTTACCGTTAAAAATTTTGGCCGTTTCTACTTTTTTTATTCGTTTATTTCACAAACTCTTTCAGTATTCCCTCTTCTTCTCTTCCGTCTTTACATTTGTTTTTATTTTCCTCTTTTCTCCCCCACTGTTACCCATGTGACATCCTTTTCCTCACTTAACCTTTTCTTCAACTGTAGTCTTCTCTCCCTACCCATCATCCCTCCCGCCCCCATAACTATTATCTTCTTCCCAGTTGGTGCTTCTCCCCGCCCACCTTGTCTCAGGTAGCTACATCTTTTCCCTGGACTCTGAACCTTGTGTGTCACCGACCTTCCTTGCCTTAATGTTATATTCCAGAAGTACTCTGCTGCAGAGTATATTTAAAGCCTTCCTCTCCCTCCACCCCTCCCTTCCGTCTCTTCTCCCCGTTCTTCCTTTCCATTCCTCTCCCCGTTCTTCTTCTCCATCCTTTGCCTCCATTCGGAATTTCTCTTACATCATTGAGTTTTCCATGTCTTCCTTACACCTTTCCGATATTCGTTCCCCCATATCCCCCGTCTCCACACTATCATTATGTAGGGACCCCTCACCGCCTCCGTCATTATTATGTAGGAATACCTCACTACCTCCACTACCATTTTGTAGGAGCCCTCCACCTCCTGCACCACTATCATTATGCAGTAATCCCTCATCCTTCCTACCACCGTTATGTAAGAACCCCTCGCCTCTCCTACCACCATTATGTCGGAACCCCTCATCATCTACCACCATTATGTCGGAACCCCTCATCTCTCCTACCACCAGTATATAGAAATCCCTCACTTCCTCCACCACCATTATGTAGAAATCCCTCACTTCCTCCACCACCATTATGTAAAAATCCCTCACTTCCTCCACCACCATTATGTAGAAATCCCTCACTTCCTCCACCACCATTATGTAGAAATCCCTCACTTCCTCCACCACCATTATGTAGAAATCCCTCACTTCCTCCACCACCATTATGTAGAAATCCCTCACTTCCTCCACCACCATTATGTAGAAATCCCTCACTTCCTCCACCACCATTATGTAGAAATCCCTCACTTCCTCCACCACCATTATGTAGAAATCCCTCACTTCCTCCACCACCATTATGTAGAAATCCCTCACTTCCTCCACCACCATTATGTAGAAATCCTCACTTCCTCCCACCACCATGTAGAAATCCTCACTTCCTCCACCACCATTATGTAGAAATCCTCACTCCACCACCATTATGTAAATCCCTCACTTCCTCCACCACCATTATGTAGAAATCCCTCACTTCCTCCACCACCATTATAGAAATCCTCACTCCAATCACCATTATGTAGAACCTCTACCTCCACCACCATTATAAATCCCACTTCTCCACCACCATATGTAGAAATCCTCACTTCTCCACCACCATTATGTGAAAATCCTTCACTTCCTCCACCACCATTATGTAGAAACTTCCTCACTTCCTCCACCACCATTATGTAGAAATCCCTCACTTCCTCCACCACCATTATGTAGAAATCCCTCACTTCCTCCACCACCATTTTGTAGAAATCCCTCACTTCCTCCACCACCATTTTGTAGAAATCCCTCACTTCCTCCACCACCATTATGTAAAAATTCCTCACTTCCTCCACCACCATTATGTAGGAACCCCTCACCTTTCCCACCACCACCATTATTAGACCCCTTCACTCCTCTCTCACTGTTATATGGACATAGCACCACCTCCCCTCTAGCACCACCTCCCCTCTTTACGTGTGTTATGTGCCACTACACATATGGCCTCCGCATACTGACGCCAGGGAGCCGCCTCTCCCTCTTCTAGGCCTACTGATGTTAGGGACCCACACCCCATCCTGTTTGTATACACGACAAAAAAGAAGGGAGGGGAGGGAACTCTCCCTTACCACCTTAACTAATACAAAAGACTCCACCCTCTTTACCACCACCGCTGATATATAGCATCCTCTCCCCTCCCCGTTCACCACCGCTGTATGGCTTAAACTCCAACACAAACTGTATGATCATCACAAACTGTATGATTTGGACCCCCCCTCCACACACATGCCACCATAGGTCCCCTCCTTTTCCCTCCATCCGCCGTCGTTTTGGGATTCCCATTCTTAACAATGGTTGGTTGACGCAAAAGTACCTTCATACTTTTTTTTTGTAGAGAAAGAAAGATTAGAGGGGGGTTAGTAGTTCTGAAACTGACGAGATTTAGGAGGTAGAAGGAGGCGGGCTTGACCGCCTTGTTACGGGTTAGCTAAGCTAATTGTGCTTTAGAATTGTGTCCTGGGTTAGTTATTGTTAGTTATTATGAATGGTTTTCTTAGACCTAGTTTCTGGTTGGCTGGTAGCTGTCGGTACAGGCACTAGACAGCTTACTGTATCCCATATATGGGTGTTTTGAGGGCCTTATTTCACATTCCGCCGACTCTACTGGCGGATGCTGGTCTAGGTAGGTTGTCTATTGCCTGGCCGTGTAGATCAGGGGTTTTAATGGACCTTTTGAGATTTGCAAACTTTTTGGGAACCATGTATGGTGGTTGTCGTTGTCTGGTGGGAGTCTTTGAAGGAGTTATTGCTCTGATCGTTCTATCTTTTGCCAGACTGCTGGCCAGGGTGTGCAGCTGCTGGTTGATGGCTCTTATTTTCAGGTCTCTATGTATCTCGGCTGTGGTTCTGGCGAAGGGGTATCTTTCACCTGTGATGAATCTCAGGGCTACATTTTGGACAGTCT